CTCGTGTAGCTTTGCGCGAAAATTCAAAACAAACAAATAATATATAAAATAAAAAGTTCAGCAGCACCGTTGTCTTTTCCATAGCACTACAGGGAAAACATTTCGGAAATGTGGGGTGGGGGGGAGGCTTTATTTCTAACCCCACTATCTCTTTCTCATTCCATTGCCAAGAGCTTTTAATGAAAACTTGAATTACCTAAAATTATCAAATTTAATCTAACATGAAAGATTTTTTACTACTAAATAAATGCTATGGCCTATTTGAATATCCAAATTAACATTGGTTTTAATGGAGTTTCTGTTTAACGTTGTTTTACCTAATATATTTTGAGGAAGTGTTCACTATGAGCGTGTTTGTCTCCGTGTGTCTGTGTATATATATATATAACTATATAAGAAAGATGTACAAGTCATCAGTGTATTACAGTGATATTTATTTATTTGCTATAAGGACTATAGAACATAAACTATAACAGTTTGTTCAGTGAAATTATACAATTTCTCGCACAATAAATAGAGTAGTTATTTTTTTCACGATGTTTTTATATAATATATATTATATATACACTACTAGTTTCACGAATTTGGAGGGAGTTGCTACAGTTAAAAGTCGTATTCGCTTTTATTGTTTAATCATGAGCAAGTATACGTTGATTATTATAGAGGAGTGAGTGTAAATGTGTAACTTTAGTTTCGACTGTTCTTTCTTATTAACCCAAGTTTTTATAGATTGAAGGCAGTCACGTTTGAGTTGTATAACAGAAAAGTTTTGTATCACTAATTGTGAGAATGTTTCTTTACTTATATTAGAAAATAAGAAAGATAACACTTCGTGTTTTCTCTCTCTTGTGGACCTCTTAGTTTCACGTTTCACTTGTATGATATACACGCTCCAGCTCATATCGTTTTTTACATTCAGCTGCCGTTTCTTGCTTTTCTAAAGAGTTATAATAGAGAGAGAGATATAAGAAACATCCAGCGTACACACGATGGTTGATTCATGACAATGATCCAAATAATTGTATATTTTAGATTCCATCATAAATCATTTCTTTACAAATTATATGGTATATGCTTTTTTGGGGGGAGATGTGTGATCTCGCAATTTTTTATTGTAATTCTGATTTAAATACTTGGAAAAGTAGTTACTAACAAGATTAGGGTTTTTCTAAGTCAGTAAAACGTAACAGATATAGTTGATTGATTATCCATGGATGATGTCCGAAGTATTCAAATTTTGTGCTCAAGTTACAAATTCTGGCGTCATTTATGTTAAACATTTTGTAAGTAGAGGTGTTGCACGTGCTTACATTCCTATAAACAGCATGATTAAAACAGTGTGCTCCTCAGTGAGCAGTTCATCCCAAGAACAATGAACATTTGGTGAAGTGCAGTTGAGAATATCATAACTATTTATCATTTCATATGAAATACTTGAATTTAAAGCACACATTACATTGTTTGTTAAATTCATAAGCATTGTCAAATGAAGACTTTTGTTTTTCTTACTATTTAAAGCTGGACCGATTCAAAGAACCTCCAGCTTTTGGTCCAATGTGTGACCTTCTGTGGTCAGATCCTCTTGAAGACTTTGGAAACGAAAAAAATGCAGAACACTTCAGTCATAACAGTGTCAGGGGTTGCTCATATTTCTATAGGTGAGTGCAAATATACTATGAGTAACATTTTTCTAAGCTTCCAGTTTTCATAAGGGCAGTTTGTGGAAATATTGATGTATAAAACCACACCAATAAGAAATAATGACAACTCTGTCATGCTTAAAAATTCAGACATAAAATATACTGAAGGATCTTATTACTTTGAAATAACTTTTTTTTGTGAAAAACAGAGTTCTTGAAAGTACAGTAATGGATATTATTATTGTTCTTCTGAAAGTGTGCGTGTGTCATCATAATAAAAAGTAATAATTGTTCAATATAATGTCTGTTAACTAATAAAAAAGGACTAAATAATGTGAATCATGTTTGTGCAATAAATATTTTTAATACATAAGACAATCACATGAACTAGTTTTACTCTCTTGAAAAAGGCTTAACCAACATTTTTTACTTCAATCTAGCCCAGCTCAGTTGATACTTCTTTAAACTGTTCCTACCTAGAAGAATGTCACAAAATAATATTACCTTAAGCCTTTTTTGTAAAATAATTTATATTGATTTTTCCTTTTTGACAGATTGTGATTGGTATTCCAACAGTGAAACCAGTTAGCTCTGTTTTTATTTACTACTTTATTGGAAATTTGTTTATTGAATTAAGTTTCAGAATTTTATGTGGATGCTGTTATAAGTGTAATGTCATTACTGACAGAGCATTTCAAAATCTTTGTGGTTCATATACCTATGAGTTGTGCAATAAGGGAAGGGCTGTACACTTTTATTTTTCAAAAAAGCATAACATCTCAGATGATTCAATCTAGTGTGACTTGTGATGAAGAAGTAACAATATAATTTAATTTTGTATTCATTTAGTGTTTTGGAGATTGATTCTACAAGTAATTATATATTTAGAAGTTTCACTTTAATGAATTCTATTGTATTTTATAAAAGACTTTAGTAGTGGGACGGGCATGGCCTTGGCAGTTAGTGTGAAGGTTTTTAATCCCGGTCCATTTGCATAAAAATGAGCTTTAGTGCCATGGGCGCATTATAAGAGTAAATGACAAATCCCACTACTTGGTAAGTCAAAAGTAACCCTGCAGTTGGTGTTATTGCTGTTGATTAGCTGTCTTTCCTTTAGTTTACTGAATATCCATCATGTTTGTTTGTTTGTTTTGAATTGCACGCAAAGCAACACGAGGACAATCTGCGCTAGCCATTGCTAATTTAGCAGTGTAAGACTAGAGGGAAGGCAGCTAGTCATCACAACCCACCACCAACTCTTGGGCTACTCTTTTACCAATGAATAGTGGGATTGACCATCACATTATAATGCCCCCATGGCTGAAAGGGCGAGCATGTTTAGTGGGACAGGGATTCGAACCCGTGACTCTCAAATTGCGAGTCGAGTGCCCTAACCACCTGGCCATGCCGGGCATTCCATCATGTTTGTCACAATCTTAAAATTAAAGTTGAATTCATAATAATTTTTACACTTCCTATCTAAATGTAGTTTGAACAATGTTCATTAAGTTTGCAAAGTGCTTCAATAAAAATAATTGAACATTTGAACTGATTAGAAACTCTTTGTGAGAGGTACAAAACATTTCAATTCATTTTTACTTTCTTTATAATTTTACATTAGAAATTAAAATATGGTAAAACCTGCATAAATATGCATAATTTTTAAAGATATAAAATAAACAATGACTTTCCTATGACCAGTAATTGAACATAATTTAATACACACACACACATGCATGTGTGTATGAATAAGTATCATTTGAAATTAACAAAGTTAATTGAATATTGCCTCGGGTTAATGGTAGACTTACGTTTCCATCTAGTGACTTTATAAGTCATGATTCAACTGCATTTTATTTTTTATTTGTGTCACAAGTGATTTTTCATCATGTTTAAGAGCTCATCTTTTAGTAAGAATCACACTTTTTTTCTGTATTCACTTTCTGTTTCTCACTAAAATATGTTAAATTGTTTTTCTACAAATCACACTTTGGTGGAAATGCCTGAATTGTTGACTGATTCCATGCAAAACATGAACTGCAGATTGAGGCATTAGGGGCTTCAACTGGTGAATTACAAGCTTCAATGCCCTTTGAGAATAAACCAGTAGCTGTAGTTTGAGTTATTAATGTATTATTGCAGTAAGGAAAGAAAAAAATAAGTAATTAAAGAGAGGTTTCTTTGTAGGGGCAGTCACCTCATGCCAATTAATTGTGTACTAATTCCGTAATGCTATGGCCTCTTTCCAGTACTTCATTTGCTGACATACAAACAGATATGATAGAGGGAGCAGCGTAATTGGTTAGGACTTAGGCAGCTCTTCTCAGCAAGATGAATAAATCAGTTGTTACTAAAATTGTTCTATTAACCTTTTTTTTACATTGTTTTTGATAAATCAATTGTTTCATAATTTTTATCAGATAATATGCAAGGAAGAAGGAAAATGTTTGTGTGGTGACCTTGCATTTTTACATACTATATATAATTTGGAATTATAATAATTTGCTGAAATATAAGCACCTGTATATACTTTGCCTTGCATTTTTGTACTGAAAGAGAAATGCAACATTTCTTTGTAATATGTGTATACATAATTGGTAATAGTAAAGTACTGTTATTTGTAAGTCACTGTACTTTATACAAACATGCAATATTGTCTTCTTTTTTTAAAGGAGACAGTACATGTAGAGAAGAAAAATATCAGTACTAATTATAAAAATATTTTAAAGGATTGTGTATAAATTAGTTTTTGTATATGAACCAAGAGAAAACAGATTCTGTCTGTTTACACCCCTCTCACTGCTGCTAGAGGAATTAGTTGTTAGTTTTTTACTTGGTGAAACTACATAATTACAGAATTGAGGAAAAACAAGACAATTGTATGTTTCACAAATACATCATTTATTCATGACCATTATTTGGCCATTAAAGGAATCATCAGATACAGATTCATTTATGATTGAGTGATTTCTGTTAAATTTGTGTGTGAATTCTGTGAGGGTCACAGACTAATATATATATAGTTGATTATTTCTGTTCGGTTGTTGTAGGTTTTATTGATCCACACACTTTATACTCTTTCTAAAAGTGTTTAAGACTGTTTAGTTTTACAACTAGAATTAGCACTTGGACTTCCATATTTGTCCAAACTGGATAACTGCTTGAAAAACCACAAAGCAATGTGAATAAATAAAATTTTTACTAAGCTATTTTCCTCACTTCTGTTCTTATAAAAACCCATTTGGTAACATTGTACACCATCAACCGAGTTTGTTAGACTGTAGTTCTAAACTGGTCATGGTGTGATATTTAGTACCCAAACTGAACAACTGTATTTTGCTTTAGTATGTTTCCTGTTGTTATCATAGACTAAAATCATAGCTTAAAATGTAACATCCTGTAAATCTTACTAACATATGGACAGCATACAAGGGACCCAACCTTTATTTTCAGGAAATTCTGGATTCTCCCTTTTAAAGTTCTTGACCATTTAAATATTTGAATATTAGAAGCTAGAATCTGTATATGTGTAAAATTTGTGTGCATACATATGTGATGGATCAAAAAGTTAGTGTTTGAAAATATTGTTTGCTTCATTCAAAGGTAATTTTACTTATGAATCCACTAAGTTTAAAAAGTTGCTTGAATAATTTTATGTTAATATATATATCACTGGAGTAATCAAGAACCAAATGAAAAAGTGCAAATTCAATATAGTTTTTATTGTTATGTATTTCAGCTATGCAGCATGTTGTGAATTTCTTCAACACAATAACTTACTCTCAATAATTAGAGCACATGAAGCTCAAGATGCAGGGTGAGTACAGCTTATGAATAACTGTGGTTTTGTTGGCTTTAAAATTTTATCAAAATAAAAAATAGTATTTCTTTTTTTTTTGTCCTGTGACTTAATTAAGATTCTTCTGTTTCTGTATAGTAGAAATAAAATTGGTTTCATTTGTCAAGTAGCTATAAACTCACTGTATGGATTGTGTGTTTGTAAATAAAACAAACATGCTAGTGGGGAAGCTTGTTACATACACCCAGTGTATAGATTATGTGTTTGTAGTAAAGAAGCTTAAAAAACAAACATGCTAGTGGGGAAGCTTGTTACATACACTCACTGTATAGATTATGTGTTTGTAGTAAAGAAGCTTATAAAACAAGCATGCTAGTGGGGAAGCTTGTTACATACACTCTCTGTATAGATTATGTGTTTGTAGTAAAGAAGCTTATAAAACAAACATGCTACTGGGAAAGCTTGTTACATACACCCAGTGTATAGATTATGTGTTTGTAATAAAGAAGCTTAAAAAACAAACATGCTAGTGGGGAAGCTTGTTACGTACACTCATTGTATAGATTGTGTGTTTGTAGTGATGACATTTGTTACAGACACTCACTGTCTGGAGTGTTTGTTTGTAGTGAGAAAACCCATATTAAACCATATCCACCTTTGAAGGAGATTTCTGTCCATTCTAAGTATTACTATTTTATTACAAGATAAAGGTTAAGACTAGATAAGAGATGCAGTTAATGGAACTTGTTACCTTAAACTATTGATATTAAAATAGTTTGCCCTCATAAGAATTTTATGAAAGTATGATTGTTCAAATTCACATCAAATGTTTTGAAACATTACTTATATGAAAGTGGGAATGTTCGGAAGTTTGAAGGGGTATACCCTGTCGTTATGGTGGTACAAAAACCCCAATTCATATTGCACTGCTGTAAAGGAGGGCATGTATGTACTTACGGTAATGAAAAAACTAGAAAAATAGTACACTATGTCTCAAGTTTCCCACTGTTTAATAGGAACATTGAAAAGAGCCCAATTTAAAGTTTGTACACGAATATTTGTATATGATAAGGTACTTTGTAAAAATGTAAAAACACATCTTACTGAAATAAGTGAAAATAAACTTGTGTGTAGTCTTCAGGTTTACAGTTTTTGTGGTTTGTAATTTTCAGACCCTCCCCTGTTTTCTTGGGTTGGAATCTTCAGCATATCCATTAATGTAATTTAAATTTGTCAGCCTCTTTGTGTGATTTGGAATGTTTAGCATTTTTTTTTACTTTTTGCTTGGAATTTGAAGATTTTTTTTTTCTGTCTGTGATTTGCACTTTTCATCCTTGCTCTATTTTTGTGTTCAACTGAATGAGTTTTTGTATGTGATTTTTGGATTTTCTGTTATACAAGATATTCATTCTCTATCTTTGTGTTATTAAATCTTCAGCTGCCCTTGTTATTTTGGAATGTCCAATCTCTCACTCATATTCTCTGTAGTTTTATATATTTACCTAACCTGTTGTTTTCCATGACTTGAATTTGCAGCTTCTTTACTTTGAGTAAAATATTTAATTATTAATTATTATTGACTTTGAATCTTCAGAATCTCTATTTTGTGATTTGAGAATCTCAGCATATATGTGTTTATGGTTGAAAATCTTCAGTCCCTGTATCTTTAATTTGAGAGTTTCGCTTTTCTTATATGTACATATATGTAGAAACCCAATTTAGTTCTTCTACACTTAAACTTGTTTTTGAAATGTTTGTTTTTCCTCAGGAATTTCCTACTTAGTGAGCTGTTGTTTTTTATTCATAGACTACTATAATGAATGTAATAGCTACTATATTTTTATGTAATTTAGTTAATAGTGTTTTATAAAAACTTGTTTTCAGTTTCTTTTTGAACAGTAAAAGAGACTGAGTTTTTCCTGCTCTATAATAACTCATTAATTGTATAATAATTAAAAGTACTGATCTGTTCTTTCAGTGGTTGAGTAGAAAAAGTTTACTTCAGTAGTTATGTAGTATTCAAAAGCAGTAACGTGTTTGTTGGATGACTGACTAAGAAAACCATGTCAGTGAGTTTACTTCTCAATTCTTTAAAGACAACGTATTTTCATATATACAGGTGGGGTCAAACGGTCAGTGTTTATTTTCATTAAAGTTAAGGTTAATGTGATTAAAATATCTTTTGACTCAGAACTCTGTTTATTCAGCTATCGTATGTACAGGAAGAGTCAAACAACGGGTTTCCCTTCTCTCATCACCATTTTCTCAGCACCAAATTATTTGGATGTGTACAATAACAAAGGTCTGTTCTTTTAAACCTTTTTAGCATTATTTATGAAGTTTTCAATTCTAGAATCTCATGCTTTTTTTAATATAATTAATAAGACAACAGCTATTTGTGGATAAAAACTCAAAACAACCTTTACTTTTTTTTATATGAACATCTTATTTATAAAAAAGTTTATTTAAAAGTCATTTTATAGTAAAAGTAGTTTCATTCCTGTAGGATATAAGATCAACCTAGCAACATGTCTACTAACTCGAGCCTTTATCTTATTTAACTCTTTGAGATTGTTTTTCTTCATGAAATATTATTGTATAATAGATACTCTAAGAATATGACTGAAAGCCTAACCAGGATATTTCTGAACAAAATATTTAAAACTCCCCTAAATAATCTCCTCCATCTCCATTATTGCTATTATTGAGCATTTATTATCGATGAAGTAAGTTAACCATAACTACATTCATAGATGGTGCCACATCCTTACACAAAAAACAACAACTAAGTTTTCTATAACACAATATAAACCAAGTGTGGAGGAGGTCACACAAACATCTTATATATCTTGGGTGGGTGGGGTGCTAGCACTCTCTATGGAGGAATGCAATGAAAAGAAATGGCTGCCACTATTGCAATAATACATAAACTTGGCTGAAGTGTCTACTCCAACAGCCACCATAAGACTGATATGAAGAACCATTTCTTGAGTTAATACACTTCCTACTTTGACCTGTAATGTTTCAGCTTCGACCTATAAGACACTTCTGCAGCCGATGACCATCAATTAATTAATCACGTGAAGCACTATACAAGGACATTAAGAGTGAGGTGTTGAAAGCGGGTAACAGAAAGCAACCCTACTGCCAATACTTTGGCTGCTACTTTTTTAATGCAAAGTCATCTTGAGTATCACACAGATTTTATAGGGCTGCAATTCTTTACAGTAGGTGTCTGTGACTTGTTGGGGATAAATTTCAACAATAAATGGACAGCACACAAAACAGGTCAAATGTATGTACAAAAATGTGTTTCACTATTGATTATCACAGTTGTATCCACAGCTTTAAATAATTGTCTCTTTTTTTCATCAAAGTCCACACAGGCAGGTTCAGTTACTTTAGAAAACCCTTTGACAAGACAAACTATTCTCCTCTGATCTGTTATTGCAATACAGTCAGTGATAAATTCACTTACATTACCCCATGGATTACCACAGTTGTATGCAGAGCTTCTCTTGTATGTCAAATGTCCACACAGGCTGGTTTAGTTACTTTAGAATCCAACTGACAAGATGAATTATTATTCTCTATTCTGTTATTTCAACCTAATCTGTGATTATAACACTTTAAAAGTTGCCACTATACACTCCTTATGCCGAAATTTACAAATACATTCTAAATATGTATCTTTCACCAACTTTATTTTAGTGTCACTTTCACTAACTTCCTTACTTGCATTAACTTGGTTATTGATATAGATATATTGCTCGACTGAGGCCTAGAACTTTCTACAAACTATGAGACATTATGATGTAACAGTACACACTTAGAGCAACGAGAAAAATTCCAAAGGTTTACATAATGTGATGTCAATTCATAAAATTGAACTACATAACAAATGATTTGTAAACAGTTACAACAGTTATACATCAACAGTTATTGCTTCTAAAAATAATAAATTTAACAAATGCACTTTTTAACTATCTAAATCATAACTATTGTATTAAATTTAAGTGAAACTGTCGTGCATATCTAACATAAACCTTCTACAAAACACTTATGTGAAGTAATAATGAATACTGTAATAATATATTATGTTACAAGTAAATTGTGTGAATGTTAGGATTTTTGTATTATCTATCATAACATCTACCCCCACATTTGTTTTAACTTCATAACCCAGACAAAGGACTGGTACATCAGCTTGTCTTTAATATGAAAGCTCTACTCACTGGTCAAACTGAACATCATTTTCAAACTGTTTTAGATTAAAGCATCTCTTTAAAACAAAGGATTTTCTTCCTATCTCTCTTCGCTCCTAGATTGTATATAAATATACATTTGGTGGCTGCAAAGCTGCCTATATTGGGAAAACTAAACGAAATTTTACTGTTCACATCCAAGAGCACATGGGAGTATCACTAAGATCAGGTAGCATCCTTTTGACTCCATCCATTTTGGTGATCTGGAATCACAGACATTAAACTGGACATCCAATAACTCACTCAGGACTCACCATTTTTTGTGATGTTAATTTTAATCTTGAACTGTTAAGCAAAGAAAGTCTATCCATAAAACAAATATCCTTTGTTTTAAATATAACACGGTCCTTCTATATTCTTAATATGTTTTAAAGCAACTTTTACTATAAAATTAATTTCTAATAAACCACTTTATAAATAGAATGTTTATATATTTTGAAAAAAAATAAGAATAAAGGATTTTAATCTTATATATTATCTTTGCCTCCATAGATACTATCTGTAAATATTCAAGTCAACCTACATTGCAGTATCTGCTTCACTTGCAATATAAAAGTATATAATTCATAAGAAGAACTTAACAAGCTAAATGTTTTTTTTATTTATGGATAAACAAGTAAATATATTTAAAACTTTTTTCTCTCTCTATGTTTACCTAGTATTAACAGGTGGCAAAGCAAGCCTTCAATAGAATTGTAAAACAGTTCATTCTGTTATTGGTTTAGGTACATTGTGATTAATTTGTTATTTGTAATCCTCCCTCAATAATCTATCAAAATGTAAGCAACAAGCTAAACGAATGGGAAGGGTACTTTCCTTAATATATAGTAAAATACTACATTTAATGAAAAAGGAAATATTTAATAAATTCCTTTTATTACTTTAACTGAAATAGTCTAGATTTATGTATATTACATATGGTTTGCTCTAAATTCATGTCTTTACCGAATGCATGTAACATATACTACCACATCCAAACAGTATTTACACTAGATAATACAGTAAATTGCTCATTTCTATACCTAATTATATCTTCACAGACAGACATCCTGTTTTTTTGTTTGTTTCTTCTCCAAACACTTTTCAGTCAACTGCCATTCCTTCATTTCTCGGTAGATTGACTTGAACCTTGTTGCAATATGCCCAGATAGATATTTAATTTTTTTTATTTAGGCATTTTTAATGATTTTATGGGGTTAAAGGCCAAACAACTCAATAATGTATATTTTGGGCTCTTATAAGGTCATATTTATAGCTATCAAGATGAAAATTGGCACAAATATAAATTTTCATGCACCCAAGACATTGACAATTGACATAAAACAAATTTAGATTTCTCCATTTTGAATCTCTTTTTTTTTGGGGAGGGAGAGGGGGTAGAGCTCACAAAAAAAGCATAATTTGGGGGGTTTTGGTCAATTACCTGGCCATATTTTGACCAATTTACATTTGGTACAAATAATTTTATACAGGTTCCACAAATTGACAAACAAAAGTGGTGGACTTGCCAATTTTTAGTAATTATAGGGGGTCAAGATGCCACAAAAAGCATAATTATAGGGTTTTTAGACAATTACTTCACAGTATTTTGTTCAATTTACATGGGATTTGATACAAAGATACTGTTGTACAGGTCCCATACATATACATATAAAAATGTTGGATACACCTATTTTTGGTCAAATAATTAACCTTGTTTTGACTAATTTACATCGATTTTGGTAGAAAAATACTTTTCTGCAAGCACTGCACATTGACAAACATAAATGTTGAACTTTGCTCAGTTTTAATAGTTATAGTGGTCAAGATGCCACAAAAACCATAATTTTAGTTTTTTTTTGACAATTACACCACCATGATTCAGCCAATTTACATGGGATTTGGTACAAAGATACTTTTTTACAGGTTCCAAACAGACATATAGACAATTTAGGAAGTTGTCTCTTTTGCTCAGTTTTTCAGTGAGAAAGGCACAGTTTGAGGTTTTGTGAACTGTTCACATGTATAATGGCTGGAGACGGCTTGAATGGATAATGAAGAAAAACTTTAATATAAGTTTAACATAACAACGTTTCGACAAGGTTTTG